TCGTATAGGAAGGAGAAAGGTCAAATTCTCCACCTATATTGTACAACTTACCCGAGTTCTGGAAACCTCCAGAAACTGTTTGCAAGAAATCAAAAAACTTCATTTGAATTCTGGGTTTGCTTTAGGGAGGTGCATGCCAGCTTGACCAACGTTCTGTTGCAAAGGAAAACTAAATAAATTAAATAATTTTATTCATTTTTAGGCTTTTTGACTTCGCTTTAAAAAAGAAATTGATATTTAAGATTTCAGATATGAATTTTGAATGACTTTTATATTCAATTTGTGTTCAGAAGAGGAATTAGTGTTGAGCGATGGGCGGTGTCAGTTGGTGAACACGACAGACGGATTCCTCCTCGAGTTCGACTTCAATGATTGTGGAACCATCCAACAGATACACTCGGGTAATATAAGGAATTAGAATGAGTTCAGTAAAACAAAATAAATAGTAAAAGAGCAATTGATCTAATTTTGTAAGATTTGCGGCAAAAATACTTTTTCAGGCAGAAATCTGTTTCAAGTATGTCTGAAACGTCAAATATGCGTGCTAACTTTGCTCAAAATTGGCAGATAGCTGTGCAGGTTCCAATTTTTGCTAGTAATTTTACTTATCGATTAGTTTTTAGAAAACTCATCAAACAACGTTCTAAATTACTTGGGTAAACTTGAACTTCAAGATAAAACTAAATCAAAATAGTTCTTTGAACTTTTCGCTCTCCTTTTGCCGGTGTTTTTAATGTTTTTGTCTTCTAAAAGATGCATAGTAGAACGTTGTTGAATGAAAATTGATACGAGGTTGTGGGCTTGAGTTTCTATTTAAAAAAATTGACGTCTCTGAAATGCTCATCGTTTATTTTCCTAAATTTGTCAATTCAAATTCATTTTTGAAAATTCGGTTGCAATTTTAGCATTGTTCGAATGTCAAAGTCGGAGTTTTTTCTAAAAAGATAAGACGTTGCATATTATTGTTAGAAACTAAATAGTTTATGTCAAATTTTTGAAAACACCTTTTTTGGTCATCAAATCTGAATTACCCCAGGTCTAGTCATCTTGAAAATCTTGCCAAGCTCTTGAAGATTCTTGAAGATTATCAAAAGTAGCAAAGAAGAAAAGTTTAAATAGTTCCGGTTTTCTCCAAGGTAACAAACTACATGAATACGACCTCAGAAACATGTACGATCGCTCCATCAGCTCAACAGAGGAATCTGATTTTTCGTGCAATCTTGAAAAGATCTTCAAGATTCTTCAAAATTTTTCGAAGATTCATTACGAGGCCAAACTGTGCACTGGACAGGCGCACAATTTTGTGTCTGTTTGTTCCTGGATTCCAGAGACAAATCTTTAAACATGTGAAAATTTTGTCGGAACGATCAAAGAAAAGTAAAGAAAAAAAAAGATCAAAGGGAGCGTCCTTGTTGCGGAATCCGCTTAAAATGCACAAAATGCACAGTTTTGCCTCGTAATGTTTCTCAAGATCTTTAAAGATATCAAAGAAAAAGTTCGTTATCAAATCGGAATGTAGACTTTTTGCTATCAAATCGCAAGCGTTATCAAATCGTTGTCAAATCGGAATCAAATAGGGTTATCAAATCGCTATCAAATTGGAACAGTTATCAAATCGTTATCAAATCGGAAGCGTTATCAAATCGGAATAAAAGACATCGTTATCAAATTGGTTATTAAATCGTCATCAAATCGTTATCAAATCCCCGGGTTGACCGCCATAGACCAAAATGCTAGTCATACAGTTCTATACAATTTCTCTATGAAAAAATGAAAAATGCTAGTCATATAATTCACACACTATGGGAACTGCATGACTAGCAGTTTCTTAAAACAAAAAAATTTTATTGAGAAAAACAAAGAAGTTAAATTAGGCATAAAGCTTATAAAACTAGTCAGCTGTCATATGTTAATCTCCAAAGTTATTGAAACTGACAAAAAAATTTTAAAAAATATTTTTTTTGAAAAAATTCTAGTCATACAATTCCCATAGAATGAAAAACAATTTGTTTTGAGAAAACAAAAAGAATAAGTTAGTTAAGAAGCTCATAAAAGTAGTCAGTGGTCAAAAGCTAATCTGCAAACTTGTTGAAATAGACAAAAAAGTTTTAGAAAAAGAGATTTTTTCTTGAAAAAAGGCTGGTCGTGAAGTTCATTTTTTTTAATTCATAGGCACTTATTTTGGTGACATAAATTACTTTATCTGTACCTGTTTGCCTAAAATTGCTTCAAGTCTGATAATCATCAGAAAACTTTGAATGTTTTTATTCTGATTTTTATTTTGATGTTTATTAGTTATGCGCACAAATTCTTTGATAGTTTAGAATTTCATTGCGCAATTTCATTTTATAGTTTCATTTGACTTTTTTTATAATCATAATTAGTCTAATTTTTACCACTGAGTTTTAAAACCGAGAGTTCTGAAGAATTTTTTGAAATTTTTTCAGAAAATTTTAGATTTATTTTTAATAAAAAGGCCGAAAACTTCGTTGAAATCTTGGAAAATCCTGAAGGGAAAATCACCCATCTTCCTTGCAAATCGTCAAAAATCTTTTGAAAAATCTTAGCTATCTTTGTTTTTTTTTCTGCAATATTCTTTGCATTTTCTTGAATAATCTTTGATAACTTCCAAGATTCTTTGGCAAGAACTTGCCAAAACAGCCAAGGTTTAACCAAGGTTCTTCAAGACTTTTCAGAGACATCTAAAGTTGATGGACTTGGCAAGTCAATTTAAAAAACATCTCGACGTCAAAACTGTTACTGTATTGAAAGATCTATTCAATCTCAAAAAAAAAATGTTTTTGGACCAATCAAGGCCCCCGTTGTAGAGATATTGTCAACAGTTTGGTTAAAAAAAAACAATACGTTTTGCATGCAAGAGCTAATGTTTCATAGAAAATTTATGTCTCAAGATCGTCTAATTTTTTGTAGATTATTTGGTTTTGATTTTTATTTAATCTTTGGTAGATAATTGCAAAAAAATATATTTAATTCATAAAACAAAAAACTATTGAGTCCAAGTTTCAGGCGACGTTCAAGTTGAGACATAAAATTTGTGTCAAAAATTAAGTAATTTGCAAGTTTATTTAATTAATTTTTGTTCTTTATTTAAATTTCTATGTCATCTATGTCCAATTTTTTGCGATGTTATATAAAACGTTTTTAACAACTTCAAATAAAAAAGGTTGGTTGAATGAAAGCTTGAAATTTTGGAACTCTATCAAAAAATTTAGCTTCGGGATCAATTGCTGTTTGCAAGCAATAGGTTTTTGCTATTTTTACCTTTTTTGAAATTTTGAAGATGTTATTCAAATCTTAGTTAATTTTGCCGGTCCCAATTTTTTACAATATAATGTAAAACATTGTCGAAAAACAGTTAAGCTCAATTATAAAATGAAAGTTTTAACCGATTTTGAGATATAATCCGTGTCTGAAAAGTTATATTTTTGGATTTATTTCTATTTGCACAACGCTCTAGAGTTTCGTGAGAAGCTATCGATTTGAATGGATTATATTGGCAAAAAAAAATGAAAAATATAATCAATTGTCATGACCAATTTAACTGTGAGAAAAGTCTTTTAAGGGATTTTATTTAATTAATTTTATTCATTGTTCAAAAATCTACCACAACCCATATACTCGAATATAATCCATTTTTGGTATCAAAATAATCAATTGTTTTTTGTCCATAAAATCCATGAAAACGATTTAATTAATTTTTGTAAATGTGAAATGTTTATTCCATTTTCTTGCAGCGTTCTGCAAAACTAAAAACTAGGACCCAAATATGAAACATGATCATAACCGTGTATACCCCCCTCCCCCTTTCCACACCCCCAATGTGCGGCATCCGCCTCTACTGCCCCCCGTTTATCCCCTCCCCCAGTTCACCGCCAAAATTAATGGAAAAAAAACTGGCAAAATGCTTTTCCAGCAACGAGTCGAACAACCTAATGCAGTGAAACAATCTAAAAATGCTTATTTTGACGCCGGATTTTTGGTACCCAATTCACAACTTCAAAATCGTGCCAATTATCGAATTTTTCGAAAAATTTCAAACTGGTTTTGAGTTCGATCTTATTTTGGCGAGAATTTCAAAAATCGTAGTTAATGTAGAAAAACACATAGAGATGTTTATATTAACCATATCGAAGGATCTAATCTGCGTACAGGTATCGTACAGGTGGATGATTAAAAAAAACAAAAAAAATCAGTTTTTTTCCTTTTTTGAACAATCATCAATGTTTCAACTGGAAATGACTCCAAAGACATTGAAGGGGTAGTCGGAATATTCAGGGCTTTACTCTGTTACGATGAGGTCTATTTTTTATACCCAAGTTTATAAAATACAAAATGCGAAAAAACTAGTTTCAGTAAAACAAGTTATCTCAAGTTCTACGTTGTCTCCAAAAAAGGTCCAAATTTCAGGCGAGGAAGTGCTCTACAAGCAAACTGTGAACAAGAAATCTGAATATGGCAAGACAAACATTATCAGTCGAGAGGGCGAACTGGCCATCACACGGGACAGTCAATTCCAGGCTAGTAGATACAGAAAAAAATCAAAAAATCTCCTTTCCTCTATTTCACCAAAATTGAAAATTAAAAAAATATTTGATGAGATAATGTTTGATGAGCTCAAGGCTTAGTTTATAAATAATATCCTTTTGGTGTGCATAATACGATCAACTTCTACACAAAACCAAGTGATTTGACCTGTTTCAGAAAGTTTTTGTATTCAGGTGAGAACCTTGTGCAACTCATATAATACTTATTACAAAAAACCGGTTTGTGCCGCGGTGGATTTGGGAGGGGACGGTCAGGGCATTTTTTGAGGTAAGTGCCCAAACCAATCAGAGGGTCTTTATCCTTTTGACTTATTCAGATGTGAAAACATAATTGTTAACATATTCATATGAGAAAAAAAACTAAATTTTGTTTTGTCTTTATTTGAAACATTTCTCAAAGTTTTTAAAATTTTTCGAAGAAAATCTAGATTATGAATGACAAACTGGAATCAACGTGTTGTTAACATGCGTCTTAAATTGCTGTTGAAGCTAACCGGTCGGAATTGAACGAGAGTTTTCTGTTGACGAGTCTTTCACGAATCTTTCATACAATTGCAGATCACGGCCTTCTGTTCGTTTGACGCGAGAGGGTATGTGACAGCCTTCTTCAGAGCAGTGCAGGAGGTGCCTCTGAATGCGACTGGCTTCAACTACTACCAGTACAGTCTCAGACTCTACAAGTCAGGAGTGTTCAGTCACTACTTCAGGCAAGTAGTTCATGATGAGAGAAGAGATTCCATGACTTTTTTAACTTTTTTTTGCGGATTACTTTAAATATTTCTCCCCCTTGGTATTTAATAACGAATTGCCATCCCTATAATGATTATATTCAATAGTAAAGCATATGTTCATTTTGTACCTAGTAACAAATCTCTCCCTTTTGCCAATCTCAAAAATTGATGTTTTAAATTCTAGCAATAATGAGACTTGCTTTGTCGCAATATGTAATGAACAAAATTTTAAAATCTTGAAACCTATATAAAAAATAACGTCGGAATTTCTTGCCTTGTATAAAATTTCTGACACTTTTTGTAAACTCCTTTTTTCAGGGTCAAAATATCTCAGTTTTCAAATCTGACCTTAATTAGAGTCAAAATCAATGATTGTTCAGATTCTTAGGTACGTATTTACACTCGCAGATCTTATTTAACCCTTTCAGAAAATCTCCTTTACATATTTTTTGGAAAATTTGGAAAGTTTTACACTTTAGAAAGTTTTTAAGAAAAAAATGCGGTTCTCCCGTCCAATTAGTATATAGAAGCGCCCGGGGCCCTTTTATAATTTTATTGGGGCTTGGTTTGTGGAACCTAGATTTTATTTTTACCAAAAGAGTCGAACTGAGAAGGTCGAGATGTAGAGGAGGACGTTGGCATCCGCGGGAGAACTTCTGCAAAAATTACTCCAAACTATTAGACTACAAAAGACAATAATATGTTTCAAAATCGCCAAAAAATCTGAAACACTACAACTGCATTACGAAACTGCATGAACTTTGTTTATCGTTTTTTTTTCTGTAGGGAGCAAGACTATCCGGTGGTTGTGACCATAGGAGACGATCTATATTTCGGGGCTGCCCTAAAGACCCAACAACTGGGGTTGAAAGTGTTAGCCAGGACATGCTGGGCCAGCAAGACCAACTCACCTCTGGATCCAGAGAGATACTACCTGCAGAGAGATGGGTACTTGTTATGCTCCTTAAGTCTTTGTAAACACAATTGTAACTACTGGTAAATAAAATAGATAATAAATAACTTGACATCGTTATCTGTTAAATTTTTGATTTTTTGAGCCGAAATCTTTGGCATTATCACATAGAAAACATAGCTGTCATATATTTTTGGTGTGACTGAACCTGCTCTTTGGGACTTTTTTACCTAAAGATTTTTTCAGCAATGTTGAGTTTAAGATAATTTGGTCATTAGCTATTTACTGAATTAGAAACCTAGAGAATTTATTCCGCTCAATTAAATTTTTTACTTATTTTCGGTTTTTTACGAATTGTTTCAAGAAATTGGGATCCGAAATACGGCTTCAGAGATTCTTCTTTGACCTAGGAATTCTCGACTGAAAAGCAGTGTTAACCCACTGCCGCTTTTCTCTCTACAAACTCTAATTGTGTTTTTAACTTTCTAGGTGTCCCGAGGACCCCACCTTCATCCGCCTTCCGAGTGACGACCCCCACCTGGACCGGTTCTCTTTCCAGGCCTTCCAGTTCATGGTGGACCAGACTGCAGTTGTCTACATCCACTGCGAGGTGTTCTCCTGTGCTGGAGATGACAAGACAAACACAAACCAAGTCTGCTCAGTGCCATGTAGGCTAAATTCAGTTCACTTATTTAGTCTTTCCTTTTATACGATAATGAATTTGAGGATACCAAGTTTGAAATAATTAAATGCATGTAAATTAAGGTTTTGGGTTCATTTTGTAAAAATTGAAGCAAATATTAGCTCGCGGTGATTTGAACTTTCTTAGAAAGGTAATCAAAAATAAGGTATTTTTAAAATAGCGATCAACTTGTAAGTCAGCTCGGTTAATCAGCTTGTGAAAAAAAAATCACAAAATTATAGAAAGTTTTTTTGACATATATGTAATATTGCTTATTTAACCCGGAGGTCAAAGAACACATGCTGTTTGATATAAATTAAAGATTAAGATCATGTCAACAATTAAGATTATTTCAATTGAGGCTGGCTTTTATACAATTTTATTTTTTTTAGCACAAAATATTCTCAATACAGTCCTAAGAATACAACAAACAAATTTTTTTTTCAAGTTAGTGTCGTTTTTTCTGCGTGGTGTGATAAAAAAATCTGAACGAAAAACTAGCGCTTAACACAAAAGTAGCGATTCGACAATCATAGTACAATAAGCAAAATGGAAAACAGTTTTTTTTAAGAAAAATTACTAGAAAAAAATTTCAAAAATTTTTTTGAAGTTGAATTTTTGAAGTTTTGACTCCTAAAAGGCGCCAAAATACTTAAAAAAAACTTACTTTACTTGAGTAAAATTAAAATTTTACGGCTTAAATTAAGCTATAATAAGCTTTGAAGCTATTAATGTAAGCAGGGGCGGATTTAGGACAGGGGCGGATTTATCGGACGCCCCCTCCCCTCCTCAGGGATTCGACTCCCGGCCTACTCAAAAGTTCCCCCTTTGTACTATTTTGACATATCATTTTTTGGCTGATGGGCCTTAAAATTTTTTCAAAGGCGCCTTCGTCACCAATATATAACTATTTTCGAGGGGAGAGCTCGCGGCCAAAAAGACGATTTTTTGGTTAAAATTTGGTCACTTAAAAAACCAATTTCGTCGAACTAAAAAAAGGTTGACAAAATTTCAAAAGATTGACAAAATTTTTTACTCGCTTGAAACTAAACGAAAAACCAAAACTTTCAAACCGGTTTTTCTCGACACCGGGAAATCTTTTTAGAAACTTTGTTTTTCTTTCTAATAACGACTGAAAGGGCTTCAATGTGATATATCACTCAACTCACTCCGGTGCGTATTTGTGGTAGCTGATTTCGCGTGGAAAACAAAACAAGAAAAAACTAAACTACACCCGAAAACAAAGTTCCTCCCCATTTCTCAGTTGGTCGGAGCAATAAAAAAATCCAATTTAGGTATGTCTTGTCAATTTAATTTTATGTATTTCTTTTTTTTTCAGCCATATGTCCGCGTAGATATAAGCGACAGATAGCTACCATAAACACGTTAAACAACTACGAGCTCCAAAATCACAACATTTTGATCAACAAAACGACAATCTTAGCAAAAACAACTCCAAAAACAACTGATGTAAAAGAACCTTCAAAAACGACAAGAAACTCGCTAATCAAAACCGATTCTGCTTCGTCTGCCATTCGTTCACGACGACAGCAACAACAGCAGCAGAAATCGCCGAGTGGCTCTCGTGTTGAGAAGTCGGCCTATTTGCAGAGTGGTTTGTCAGCCGGGCAATACGAGAGAGTAATCGTGAGTCAAAGAGGAGCGATGGTGTTTGTACCAAAAGACAGCAACATACGGCCGAGTAAGTTCACAGGAAATCATCAAAATTAATCTCAATCTCAATTTAAATATATCGATCAAATATTTAGTTGACTTAATGCCCACAAAATACAGTGTGATATAAGCCTTGAAAAAATTAACCCTCTTCTAATACAAAAATAAACTGAATTTTTAACAGAAATTTAATATTATCTTATAGGATACTATCAAGTTTCTGAAAATTTATGCATGCGCGAAATGAAAAAAAATATGAGCTGTTAAAAACCTCAACGGTTGAAATAACTATTTAGTGTTTCTCAATCATCTTTTTGTTTTGTTTTGTTTTAGTTTATGGTCCAAATTCGCACAATCACAATCATGATTCTCAAAGCACCGAAGATGCACAATCAAACCCAAAAGCACCTCAACAAAAGTTACCACCAAAACCGGAACCCAAAAAACCACGCCCATCGAAGGAGAAAAAGTGCTCGGGATGGATGGGTTGTTTTGCCTATACAGTGTCTGTGGTTTTTGGAGGGTGAAATTTTGAGAAAAAGCATCCGTGGCCAGCATAGATAGAGTGTGTGCCAAGTCCGATCAGTCGTTTTAGTTTAAAAAAGTAAGTTGACCGCATTCAATTTTCAACTGTCATTTCAAAAACGACTGGAAAATCCACAAAGATAAATATATCATAATTAGAAAATGTTGATAAAATGTAGCTATTTTTAAAACCCGCTACTCGGAAATTACTTACAAATAATATTTTTCGCAACTTAGGAGTGAGAGGTGGGCCTTTGCTTCAGGGATTCGATCATCTAACAACCCAAAGGTCCCCCTGTTGCGACTATTTTATGGCATCAATTCTCGGATAGCAGACCCTGAAAACTTTTGGCGCCAACGAATATGAAAATTAAAGGGGCAAGCGCGCGCCAAACAAATGCGTTTTTTTAATAACAGATTCTTCTAAAAAGTGCACAAAAAATGGTTTTTTTTTCTCACAGTAGTTCATGCACATAAAGTTTTAGCAAAGGACTCTTTTAGTGTTTTGCGAAAGCTCAAAAAATTGATTTAGTTGATCTAAAAAAGTAAACCACCCCCCACTTCGAGAGAATTCTAGACCTGCAAGTGAACATTATGATTCTTAGAAGAAAATTTAAAAATTCTGAAAAGCTATATTTCTAATGAGTTTGAGAATCTGACTTTTTTTCCATAGGTTTTGTTTTAATTTTTGAATAATTGTTTTGAAACCATTTGTAGTTCATAATCAATTGGCCTTGCGTTTTTTAAGAGTCAGTCACGAACGTATTGATAACTCTTATGTAGTCTTTTTTTCAGGGAGAAGTCTTAAAGTTTGTTCACTGTCAAATTTGATTGTTCGCGGTTTGGATTTTTTACGGTTTTAAATGTGAAACTCACGAAAAACGTGATCGGTTTCTATTTTCGAAAAAAGATTTTAATTTTCGAATTTTCTTGCGATATAAAAATTTACCAATTGATCCAATATTCTCAAATTAGGATAATTTAAACAAAAAAGTGTCAGTAAAATTGTTCTTGAAATTCAAACAGTTTTGAGGTCATAACTTTTTTGTGCGAAATTTAAGCCAGTTTTTTCTGATTACTTGCGTTCTTGAATGACTCTTTTCTAACTGTCTTCTGGCTAGGTTTATAGGGTTACATGACAAAAGATCCCTTACCTTAAGATCCCAAACGAGAAGATCCCAGTCTATAAGATACCATTCCAAAAGATACCTCGTTCTAAAATCGCCCACGACATAAGATACCATAATAAAATAACAAAGAACCTGAGAATTGAAAATAAAGCGGTAAATCGATCAAAGCAAAAACAAAGCGGCGGTTAAAATCAAAGAAACGGCAAAAATTTTGCTGCACAAATTTCGAACATAAATGACCTTGCTAATCACTTGGCCTTTAAAATGAAACTCAAACTTCAAAACAGCTTAGACTATAAATGAACTTGAAAAGGATTGCCAATTAATCAAAACCAACTTTGCTAAAAATGGCCTGATTTTCCAGACAATTCAAGTCGGTACAAAATTGAAATTAAGTTTTTGCAAAATTCTAAAGCTTTGATATCATTTTCATTACGAATCACTTGCCATTCTATTTGATAAAAAATATCAATTCTCAAATTTGATCAACTTTTTTTCGCTAGGCGCAATACTCAAAGGGCCGTCAGGCCCCTGCCCCCAACCTAGCCTCCCGTAAATCAGAGCAATTGCTCTGGGATCAAATTGCTAGAGACAGCATTTTCGAATGCGAGTCGTAGTATTGCGTTTCGGCGTTCTCCGGGAGGGTGCAAGGAGACGTCTATAAAAAAGTTGATCAAAAAATTTTAAATTTAAGAAAAATTAGGCAAAAACTATAACAAAATTTAATAAGTTAAATGGGCAAGTGAACGGATATAAGACAATAAGTTAGAGTCTGTGTATGAACTTGTTATCTGTTGAACTTTTTCATTCAGATCACGGTACTTCTTCCGGGATAAGTTGATAATGCCGCTGGATGCCTTCAAAATGTTGAACTTTTGATTGTAGGAATCCAGTTGAATTTTTTCGAGAAACGTATGTATTGAAGGATGGCTGCCTTGAAACAAAGCGGTCACACCTAGATGCCACCCTTCAACTGCATTTGTGGTTCGGGCTAGACCACACACAGCATTTTGATAATGGTTCCAAAGAGAAATAGGAAAAAGTGTTTTTCGGCCAATCAAATCCCCTCTAATGTACGTTTTTTGGAAATAAGCAGTGAGCTCGTCTAATTTTTCGAGATCGTTTTGTGAAATATCTAGTTTGGTTGCCACACTGCATATTTCCTCAATGACTAGGTCGAACCCGATTTCCACTTTTGACTCCGGAACAAAACTAAGCGCAGGAATCATATTCAGCGCTAAAACTAGCTCGCTGTTTGATTCGTACGTCTTTTTAAGGCCCAATTCGGATATTTTTCGCATAAAGCTCTGACAGAGGTGAAAATAGCATCCCTTAATGTCAGTTTCGTAATGAGAGGTAAAAGCACTCAGAGCCGCAATTTCAAAGTCGATCAAAAATCTTTCCGGGGTTACGTCACCGATAAGCGATTTGAGTGCGGTTAGGAATTTGTTATAGGTTGATAAGCGCTTATTGCTAAGCAGAGCGTAGACGCAAGGTGGATAAAACCCGCCAATCTGGATGTGTACAGTGTACAGCTGGTAAAATTGACTGGGGCAAATTTTGAAAGTACCGTCTACAAGCCAGGTTTTGTTGTACAATTTAAGTGCATTGAGGTTCTCAATGTCGCCAAAAATTAATATGCGTTCCGTATCTTGTTTTCCGCTATCAAAAAGACAAAATTGCAGAAAACGATCAGGTATTTCGAAATGGCGGTCATCTGTGGCAATAGTGGGCAGGGATGTTGTTTCTTTACTTCTGTTTAAAGTTCGCGTTAGCGCCGACCGGGAGGGCAAAGACAGTTGGGTTGCTTTTTCGTCCTGCACCAATTGCAAACTAGCTGCGATTATCTGGCTGTTTACTGGATTTAATTGACTCCTAACTGTCTCCTTCATTTGTTGAACTAGTTGCCGAGCTTCTGAGCGTCCTGCGTTGAGCTCATGACTATGCTCGTTGCTCTGTGAGATTATATCGCTCCCAGAAGTGATTAAAGTTTTCGGGCATTTATACGATCTCCATTTGCTGCAGCGCCAGTGTGTCGTTGTCTTCGTATCGCGTTTCTTTTGAAATTCATGGCCATCAAGAATAATCAGAGTTTGGCCTTTTTGTGAGGTTCCCCAAGTAAAAGAATTCATTTTTGACTTATCAATGAGTTAAAGAGGGAGATAATGAATGCAGAGTGTATACATTTTCAATTAAGTTGTTCTAATTCAATGCCATATTAACACTAAATTAAACACATGTTGGCACTATGTTAATCCCAAAAATGAGTCCAGTTTAAATTAAGTTATCTTAAATTTGCATTGTTTTTCAATAGCGCGAACCTAATTGAGGTATCATTACTCTAGATTTATTTCTGCTTACACTTTGACCATGATTTTTGTTCATAATTCATGGGATCTTTTTAATTGGCATGGGATTTTATGGTATGGGCGATTTTTATACAAGGGATCTTTTGGTATGGTATCTTTTGTCATGGGAGCTTTTGATATGGTATCTTTTGTCCTGACACCGTTTATAGCACTATTGATCTGCTCTTGATACATTAAAAAAATGGTCATTTTTGAGCTCCTCGTTGAAAAAAAAGAGATACGAACCCAGATGGAAAAAGTAGCGGAATTAGGGAGAGTGGAAGGAGCTGACGCCCCCTCCTCCTCAAGGATTCGAAGTTTTGTCGACCCGAAGGGTCCCCCCTCTGTATCTACTATATTTAGATGAACTTTTTTGGTTGACTGAATCTAGAATTTTCTAGTTCACCAATATTTTCTTTTTGGGGGGGGGGGGGGGTGTTTGCGCAAAAGAAAGCAATTTTTTTTGTATCAAAACTTTCTAAAAAATACTGGAAAACGTTTCAATTGGCCTGCTCCTGTTTTTTGAAAAAATTGCCTCGGCGCAGAAAATTTGGTCAAAATAAGGTCTTTATAGTGATCTGAGAGAGCTCAAAAACTAAATTTGGTCGCCCTAAATTTTTTTTGAAAACTCGTCCCTTCCTCCTCGAGCAAATCCTAGATCCGCTCTTGATCATTCTAATGGATTTTGAAAAAAATTTAAAAGCTTTCAAAATATTGATTCAAAATATAATTAAAATCCATTATAATCGACTATTTCTAATGAAACTTCAGTGGGGGTAACACTAACCTGATAGAGTTGCTAATTAGCTAATTTTTGTTTCAGACGATATCTTAGTTATCGATCAGGCCAATGGCAACTCGGATCCGTTCCAAGGTCGATACGGTCCAAATGACGTCACAGACTGGGATCGAGGAGTGAAGCCAATCCACTCTGTCTTGGTAGTTGTCGCCGTCTGTCTTTGTGCGAGCATGTTTGCGTTAGTTCTGGCTCTAGCTGTGGTTCTCATCACCCCAAGATGCTTTGTACCATTGACTATTGGCATGTCAGATACAATTGACTGATTAATATTTGTAATATAAACATTATTTGCCAAAAAACTATATATTATCTAAGAAGTGACTAAGAATCATGTCAGGTTTCTCTGAATTTGATAGAAACTTACGCTTTCAGCTTCTCGTTTAGATGAAGAAGCTGTTTTCGGCTTTAAGCAGTATGTAAATATCAGCTCTTGAAATAATGCAAGGCAACTACTTTGCTCACCCAACCCTTAATTCTGAAACGTAAAGACAAAAAATGATAGTCCTAAAATTTCAAACTATGAAGAAAACATTTGTCATATAGTTTTATACCTTGTCAAAGAAAAAAACTGTAGGGAATTAGCAAAACTATCATTCTCGCATTCAATGAAACTTCGTAATAATAATTTTTTTCGACGCTCTGGATTTAAATATGAAGTTTTGTGCCATAAATTTTGTCTCAAAAGTTTTATAAAAATAGCTTAATCATTTTTTTATACCATGAAATAGTATGATAAACTTTTTTCCATAAATTAAAATCGCAAAAAAAAATAATTTCTAATTGAACTTTTGTGGTTTCTCCAAAATTACGCTAAGGGGTTTTTAATATCAGAATACCCAGAGTATTAGTGGTAGTTACCACGCAGATAAACTGTATTTGATGATAACTGCCATAAGAATTGAAAATTAGATTTTCACACAATTATAAATAAAAAACGTAACTTTTGTATATGGCTATAATGTTTCTATTTAGAAAGGTTCTGTGGTTAAGAAAAGTTGCCTGTTTTCTTTCAGATCAAAGCGTATCTTAACAAATAAAAGAAACATTTTATTTGTCTCTACATATGTGACTTTTCAATTTTTGTATAAAAAATAGCCTTGTCGTCATTATAGACAAAAAACATCAAATTTCGTTATCATTTTTTCCGTAAAGTCTTTTTCTGAGGGCTCAAAATCTTTTTTGAGAGATATTGTGAGCTAAACTTGAAATCCAATTAAAATCAATTATAAATTATTTTAACTATTTGTAGTCGAGTATTGATCCATCTATTTTTTGATACAATAATAATCGATTATTATTTCTAATTCATAAGTTGTGCACAAAAAACTCATGATATTCGATTATAATCGATTATAACCCCTTTTGTTTGCCCATTTTGTTTCCGACCTTGCATCCGAATTGCTTATATTTTATGCTTTTCGTAGACGTTGGCTTATGTGAAAAATGAGAGAAATGCTTTAAGCGTTTTCAAATTAATTCAAATTGTAGGTTTCTAATTTGTTTATTTGTGATTGAAGTTGGTTCAGGATGCACAATTTAAGTTTTTTTTAGCCACCAAAATAACAGCACATTGCTTTAGTTTATGATTTACTCGGAAATGTATTTTTTTCGCATGCCGTGGAAACCTTTCAACTAATAGGAAAGGATCCCTATGAAACTTTTGTTCTTTGGTAAAACTCAGATAAGCCAAAGTGTGACAAAAGATCTCGTTTTCAGAGATTTTGTTATTGACAGAAAAACAAACCAGGAGATAAAATTAAATTGTGCTTTTGGTATTACAAAATTTTGACAAAATAAGAGATCATAATCGAATAAAGATGAATTCAAATGTTTTTTGTATGAATTGTAACAAATTATAATCGATCATGATTGGTTAGAAAATTTTACTATTATATTAAAAAATCTATTGGAAAATATTACGATTATATTCGATTTTATATCCTTTAAACACTTAATTTTGGTAATTATAATCAATTATAATTGTCAAAAAATTATCATAATAATCCGTTAAAATCGATTGCTTACGCCTGAACTTGAATGCGGGAATGCTTTCATTTGTTTTCTATGGAAAAATGCATAACATAAAACTTTCAAATAGTAAAATTGTATGATAAACTGTTTTTTTAATATTATTTTTGGAGTCAACTTTTCTGTCTTGTAAAAAAAGACACAAATTTGTATTAATTGAATTTTGAATTTTAAATCCATTTGCTAAAGTTTTAAAAAAATTAATTGAAAAACTCTTATCAAACATTTTTCTTTGATAGTAATTGTAGAGTGAGCATCTGTTCCATGGACTCCATAAATAAAATTTTATGATATGCATTTTTCTTATATGAACGTCAACCCGGGAATCCAATGACATCTAAAAAATACGTAGAAAAATATTGCTTAAAAGTGTTGAAATATCTCAGAATTGCTCGTTAGCTCAGCAATTATTAGTGTATTGATGCTTCTCAGCAATAGCCTTTAGCTTGTAAAGAAATTGATCTGAAAAGAACTCCGCTAAAATTGAACATAAATGGCCCAATTCTGAATTTCCATTAATAGTGCCCCATCAATATGAGTTTGTGCATTATTGATTTTTGAGAGCTGCTTGAGAGCACCAGACTAAAGTTTCGTTTTTGATGAAACGAGTTGTTTTAGAACTGGCTACATCTTGAAAAGTAGTCGTTTTCGTGGAAAAAAAACAAAACTATTCTCTTCATTCGTGACCAGGGGCGAATCTAGGATTTTCGCGAGAGGGGATTTTTAGAAAAATTTCGAAAATTTTGTCGAACTTTTTTTTAGGTTGACATCATATTGATTTTCTGAGCTCTCCCAATTCACTATAAATACCCCTTTTTGACCAAATTTTCTGCACTGCATGCAAGCTTTCGAAAAAAAACAGGCCAAAAAAAGCGTTTTTAGCACTTTTAAGAAATTTTTGACCAAAAAATCGCGTTTTTTTGGCGAGCGCTCCCTCTTCAAAGTTAGTATATAATGGCGCCGGATGCTTTTTAACAAAAGTTATAGGGTCCGTCAGCCAAAAATGGATATCTCAAAATAGTACAAAGGGAGACCCTTTGGTTCGGCTGGGGGTCGAACCCCTGAGAGTGGGGTTGGGGGCGTCTGCCTACACCCCCTTAAATCCGCTACTGATCATAGTAGCAAATGATTGCAGACACCCTCTAAGAAGAATCCGTTTTTCAATTATGTAAAAGTTTTTCCTCGGCTGTAATTACTTGGTCGAATAAGCGAAGTGGAAAGATTGTTCAGTGTGACAACTTTGTTAAACTGAGCTGGGTTTTAAAATTTATTTCCGCAGAGAACGTTTTTTACGGGTAGCAACTGGCATTTTTCAGAACAAAAAAAAGTTAAAGGTTAAAACAAAAAGTTGGCACTTTCATAAATGATACTTAAGATGATGCAAAGGGTTTATGTGAAAACTGTTTTGCAATCCTAAGTAACTGGACAGAAAAAGCGATGTAACCAAATAACTTAGCGTGTAGGATGCCCCAATGAGCGTCTGCAAGCATAAGTTCGACTAAGCATTGAATCAACTGAGGTTTTTGAGGAAATGACAACCTATATATTGAAATGCCGATTTTAGTTCGTCAACATTTTTTGGAACTGGTCATAAATTATTCAAAACAAGCTCAAAAGGTGATAAATCCAGTAAGTCAGGAGTCCATGGATAAACTTTACCTCTTTTCTTCGCAAATATTCTTCAATTAGCTCGGGAAGTTGCATAATTACATTACCTTGTTGAAAAATCCAAATTACAGGGTTCGCATAAATTGCACGACTTCGAGTCCCTAACTTTCGTTAAGTACCGCTCGTTGTGCAAACTTCGTTCAACGAAAATAAATTGGTTTGTAAACTTTCAGTATTTCCGTTCCACACCATGGGTCCTGTTTTTTCCAACAATCAATTTACATTGCATTCATTTCCTGGTATCGGGATTTTGTTAATCATTTAAATTTGTCCGACCATTATTGCTGTGGAGCCAGAATCGACTTTCATCCCCCAAAAAGATTTTTTGTATTGTCTATAACAGAGTGAAATTTAGGTGACAAAAATTGTCCATAACTTCTTCTTCGACATTTTTTGATTTTTTAGCGGTCTATAACATCAAGAACCGTTTTTTTGTAAAATTTGGGCAACTTTTTTTGACTAATATCCAATGTCAATCCAAAAAATTGAAGTTTAGTTGCCGACAGAGTAAAAACTTCTTTTCAAACGCAAACGAAATATGTTAAATTGTTTTTTTGTTATGATGCAACTACACAAGAAAACGTGTTAAATAAAAATAACTTTTTGATATTTTTACACCAACTAAAAACAAAACAAAAGATGATTCGAAACCAAAAAATGTTTAAGTAAAATTTCAACTAAAATTATTTCTAAATGAAGTTTTGGTCAATTCGTTTCAACCAATGCAAAAAAAAATGAAATTTTTTAATGAAAATGTTGCAAATGGACCATCGAAAATAGCTTTTACTTTATACATCCAGTAATTTTATTCACTACTGTAAACTGATTGAAGTTAATTAATGTTAATTAATTTACGAGGTTTTTAATCACTGAAACGCTTGTTTGGAAGAAACACTCAGAATTAATATTTACTTAGAAAATTAACCAATTTTTTCTTTATCAGGCGAGGGCGAATGAACTGAGCTACCCTCAAAAAGTACACTAGTGGACAAAATTTAGCGCAAAGTCAGGATTATACTCTGTAAAAAGCCTGTTTTCAATGAACATTTTGAACAACATTTCCTTTGAAATTCAGTTAAAAATTTTAGATTGACCGAGAGCAAATGGTCAGAGCTATCATCTATGAAAGTATTAAAATTTGGTTTCAGTGACTTACTAATGTAATCCGGGTCTGCAAATCCAGTTTTCCTCATCTGCATTAAATTTTTTTACTTCGCGTGAATAAAAAAAAAAAACCTCTGAGTTTAGTAAATTTCTCACTCTGGTTGTTTCCATTTCGCGCTGAGAAGGTTTCACGTTGCGTGAACAATTTTTTTTACTCCGCTCATTCGAGAAAGAAATCACTACGATGCAAAACTTAGTGCAGATGAGGAAAATTGGCATTTTCAGACCCGGATTACATTGGTAAGTCCTTGAAATCAAATGTTGATACTCTCATAGATGGTAGCTTTGATCCCTTGCTCTCGCTCATTGTAAAAACTTTAATGAATTTCGAAGGGAAAGTTGTCCAAAATGAATTTTGAAAACAGGCATTTTCCAGATTAAAATCCAAAACTTGCGCTTAATT